CAGAGAGAGACTGTTATTGGAGTTTGCTGATACAATAATAATTTGTTTAAAGAACGGTAATAACCAGATTATTGTGCTGATACCAGTAAATCTATATATTAAACATGTTAAGTAATGTTCTTATTCGTTCCTTGATAAACAATCCCAAAATGCACCAGGACTCTTATTTTGAAAGGTCTTTATCTTACTACTTCCAGCTGCTCTTTCAGAACTAGGAGGGCGATAATGTGTAACAACTATCTGCAACATATATCAATGGAAACATCATCAAATAAATTCATAATTTATGATAAGTAATCACTTGTCATAAATGCATGTTAATGATTGTGTTTTGCCTTGGAAGGGCAAAGCATTCAAGCGTAATTAATACATTTTTTTTGCAGTTTATCACATTAGGCAGCATTGTGATTCCTGTTTTTCCATCCCCAAATTTAAGATCTCTTAAAAAGATCATTTAGACTTTCGTTACACCATTTTTTGAGATTTCTATGACCTCAAATCGAATAAAACGTAAGGCTTTTTAAGCACCCGTGGAGACATAGAATGTTTTTGGCAGTTCAAATGAAATTTTATATTAACATTATATAAATGAATAGAATATATATTAATACAGTCCAAAATCAGATACTCAGAATATCCACCAACCCTTGATCCTCCCGTTTTCCTATCGCAGGCTCAAGAAGATCCAGGAGAAGAAGAAGCAGCACCGTGAGAGGACGGAGAAGGAGATCGCCCAGCGTTTGGCGGCACTGGGGCCGATCTCAGAGCCCATGAACATGCTAAACGAAGAGGCCGACGAGGACCTGCTGTTTGAATGAACCACGTCATATTTATGCTTTGTGCCTGTAAAGCCGAGCTTCACATGAAAAGAGGAAGCTCTTGTTTTGTGTGTATGTTGGTGCCCTGTCACGTTTTTTTGTTTAGGCGAATAGAACATATATCACAGACGCTGTAAAAATGTGTATCCAGAAACTGTTTAAAGTGCAAGGATTTTTTATGTTTGAACAGAAAAGAAAAGCTGTCAAATGAAGTCAAATGATCATTACACGCTCCAGTCTTATTGCATGCGTGTTCAACCGGTTAGCTAGTGTGTGATAACGGAGAATATTCTGTGACGTACCGTACTTCTCTGAGTTTTTGCAGAAACCGTTCAGTGTTGACACAATCCTTACCGAACCTCAGCCCAGATTCTTCCACATGCCCAGCTGTTTGTTCTCAGTGCAAATGTGTACCCAGATTTCACTTCTTGTGAATTTAATTTCAATAAATGTTGAAAATGGTCATTTGCTGTTGATTATTTTTTGTGATGTACACTGTTGAAGTGCTGAGGTTTCCTAGCCTTTCAGTATTTCACATTGTAGACTTAAAATGGGTTGCAAATGCATGTTGACTATAAACCTTTCAAATCAGCTGAAGGTTTTGAAAGCTTGTTTCTGCCACAGGATTAAAAAATAAAGGTAATAGCAGGTTTTTAACATCACAATTCTGACATTTTTCTTGAATTGTGATATATAAACTCAAAATTTTGAGAAGTTGGCAATTGTGAGAAAAAAGGTCAGAATTGTGTAATTAAAATTGACAAAAACAAAAAAATCAATTGTGAGAAAAAAAAAAGAATTGAGATAAAAAGGTTTTACCTCTCAATTTATTTTTATCCAGTGGCAGAAAGGGCTTCCATATAAAGTAAATGCTGCATTATATCAAACCATATTACATTAAAATTTACTAAAAAATCTAATTCACATATTTGCTACATTTCATTGCAAAAATAATTGTTAAAGCAAGAAATAGAGTTGCTTCAGTGGTTTTGCACTCAAAATATCAAGCGTTGCATACCATTACACCATTTAACTTTTTTAATGAAAAACTATTTTAACATTAGTTTTGATTTAGGTATTGTCAAATTATACATTCAACAAGTTTCACATTCAACAATGTCATTAATGTGTAATACATCACCTTACTATAAGAACATGGAAATGGACTTAAAGCTATATGAAATTGCTCTCAAATATCCTCCATGCGGAGGAAATATTTTGAAGATATGCGACTATGTTTAGAAAATATATATATATTTTTTTTTTACAGGTATGGAAATGTTGGAGGTCAAATACTACAAACACAAAATACTGTAATAAAACAATATTGCAGAAATCTCCACAAATCTTATAGAACATATATTGCAGCATCTTAGGCTTCTTTGGAATGGAAAAATAGTGTACTGCATACTGTGCGTGATGTACAGCATACTATATTTATGTGAATAAATACATTTAATTTATGGATTCTCATTAATTAGTATGTTTAAAAGAATATTTCACCCAAAAATGAAAATTTGCTGAAAAATGCGCTCACCCTCAGGCCATCTGAGATGTAGATGAGTTTGTTTCTTCATCAGATTTGGAGAAATGTAGCATTGCATCACTTGCCCTGTCACGTTTTTTTGTTTAGGCGAATAGAACATATATCACAGACGCTGTAAAAATGTGTATCCAGAAACTGTTTAAAGTGCAAGGATTTTTTATGTTTGAACAGAAAAGAAAAGCTGTCAAATGAAGTCAAATGATCATTACACGCTCCAGTCTTATTGCATGCGTGTTCAACCGGTTAGCTAGTGTGTGATAACGGAGAATATTCTGTGACGTACCGTACTTCTCTGAGTTTTTGCAGAAACCGTTCAGTGTTGACACAATCCTTACCGAACCTCAGCCCAGATTCTTCCACATGCCCAGCTGTTTGTTCTCAGTGCAAATGTGTACCCAGATTTCACTTCTTGTGAATTTAATTTCAATAAATGTTGAAAATGGTCATTTGCTGTTGATTATTTTTTGTGATGTACACTGTTGAAGTGCTGAGGTTTCCTAGCCTTTCAGTATTTCACATTGTAGACTTAAAATGGGTTGCAAATGCATGTTGACTATAAACCTTTCAAATCAGCTGAAGGTTTTGAAAGCTTGTTTCTGCCACAGGATTAAAAAATAAAGGTAATAGCAGGTTTTTAACATCACAATTCTGACATTTTTCTTGAATTGTGATATATAAACTCAAAATTTTGAGAAGTTGGCAATTGTGAGAAAAAAGGTCAGAATTGTGTAATTAAAATTGACAAAAACAAAAAAATCAACTGTGAGAAAAAAAAAATTGAGATAAAAAGGTTTTACCTCTCAATTTATTTTTATCCAGTGGCAGAAAGGGCTTCCATATAAAGTAAATGCTGCATTATATCAAACAATATTACATTAAAATTTACTAAAAAATCTAATTCACATATTTGCTACATTTCATTGCAAAAATAATTGTTAAAGCAAGAAATAGAGTTGCTTCAGTGGTTTTGCACTCAAAATATCAAGCGTTGCATACCATTACACCATTTAACTTTTTTAATGAAAAACTATTTTAACATTAGTTTTGATTTAGGTATTGTCAAATTATACATTCAACAAGTTTCACATTCAACAATGTCATTAATGTGTAATACATCACCTTACTATAAGAACATGGAAATGGACTTAAAGCTATATGAAATTGCTCTCAAATATCCTCCATGCGGAGGAAATATTTTGAAGATATGCGACTATGTTTAGAAAATATATATATATATATATTTTTTTACAGGTATGGAAATGTTGGAGGTCAAATACTACAAACACAAAATACTGTAATAAAATCATATTGCAGAAATCTCCACAAATCTTATAGAACATATATTGCAGCATCTTAGGCTTCTTTGGAATGGAAAAATAGTGTACTGCATACTGTGCGTGATGTACAGCATACTATATTTATGTGAATAAATACATTTAATTTATGGATTCTCATTAATTAGTTTTGAAGATATGCGACTATGTTTAGAAAATATATATATATTTTTTTTTTACAGGTATGGAAATGTTGGAGGTCAAATACTACAAACACAAAATACTGTAATAAAACAATATTGCAGAAATCTCCACAAATCTTATAGAACATATATTGCAGCATCTTAGGCTTCTTTGGAATGGAAAAATAGTGTACTGCATACTGTGCGTGATGTACAGCATACTATATTTATGTGAATAAATACATTTAATTTATGGATTCTCATTAATTAGTATGTTTAAAAGAATATTTCACCCAAAAATGAAAATTTGCTGAAAAATGCGCTCACCCTCAGGCCATCTGAGATGTAGATGAGTTTGTTTCTTCATCAGATTTGGAGAAATGTAGCATTGCATC